AACATGTCCTGAAGTTCTCCAGAGGCCTGGTAACAAACTAATCATGTGATTCAGGTGTGTTGACCCAAGGTGAGATCTAAAACCTGCAGGACACCGGCCCTCGTGGCCTGGAATTGCCCACCCCTGGCTTATCCTGATTTTAAAGTTGTAAGTTGAGTGAAATATGTCAAATTAGTGATCAACCAACTACATCAGTGTAATTAAAATAGTAAAAAGAAAAAATGCCCTTTAAGTAGGCCCGTCTTCTTTTTCCAGAGTGGCCGTGCTCACGATGAGTTTTGTGGAGTACTCGGACTTCATTCAAGATGGGGATGTTGCCATCATTTACCTGAGCCACAACAATGTGATGCCTGTCAAGGTGGAGCAGGGTGCCCAAACGCAGACACGCTATGGAGTCATTCGCCACTCCACAGACCTGATTGGTCAGCGTTACGGGTCAAAGGTGACCTGCAGCAAAGGATGGTTCCATGTGCTCCACCCAACGCCGGAGCTGTGGACAGTTGCCCTGCCGCACCGCACACAGATCCTCTACACCACAGACATCGCCTTCATTACCATGATGCTGGAGCTGAAGCCAGGCTCCATCGTGTGCGAGTCAGGTGAGAGTGGCATCATGGTGTTGTCTCGTGGATGGAAACCATTCTAGAAAGGAAGGGTTATCAGTGTGTGTGTTTGCTTTAACAATATATTCCAAATACATAGAAAATCATAACGAAATGTGATCTCAATTGATGTGAAAGGTTTCAGTGCACTATGTTATTGGATTGCTATTTTAATCTGTTTTAAAACAAACTTTATGTACACTGGGTGTTTTATTGATGCTGGGACAAACTGGTCTATTTGAATTAGCAAGCGATTATCAAGCTGAAGCTCACTCACAGGTCTGTTCACTGCAGCTGTCAGCTCAGTTATATTGGGTAGATTATGACCATCATCCCTCTGTAGGGTCTGTGTGACTTTTTATAGGGTCACTGCTGACTAAAAAGGTATCAGTGCTCCTGCTTGAGCATAAAGTCAAGTCTTAAAGGTGGATGCTGCTGATGCTGCACCAGTCTGTCTGTCATCAAATATTCAGCTGTTTTCTGTCATGATTTTGTTAGCAAGTCAACCTATGTTCAACCCTTAACCTATCATTTGGGATGTGCATGTCACTCCAAAATATTATTCTGCATTCACAAGGGACTAATCAGCTGTTCTTTGAAGCTCCACTTGTTCTGTGTGGGTTTTTTAGTAACGTGATTCCCTAGTTTTGCTGACAGATTTAGCATTGATTCTTTTTTGTTTGTTTGTTTTGTTTATTTGTAAACAGATTTATTGAGAACTTTAGTAGTCCCTCTTTGAGCTCTGCATGTGTCTCCTGTTAGTGTAGTAGCATCTAATCTTACCACACCTCATGTTAGGCAATCAGATGACTTGGGTACTAATATTTTCTTCCTAGTATTTAGCAAACAGACGACTGAATCCTCGCGGTAGTTTGCTGTACAGACAGGTTTTACATGTTTACAAGGTTGACTTGTCAAACACATGCTTATTATCCAACCTGTAGCTGGAGTGGGGAAATGCATGTGTCTTCTGTCAGACATTCATGAAATGGATGTAGAGATGTCATCCATTAGTAAGATCCAACATTCATCAGTTGAATTTTTATTTTTTT